CAGTCATGTAGTTACAATACATAGCCACATGAATTTTACACTGGAAAGACAATGGAAAACTAAGTATTCATAAAATAACTCCAAGATGATATACCATTTTTTGTTTAAACCTTTAAACAATGGGACCAGGGCCTGACCATCATACTTGGCATCACTTTGAAATTAACTACTGAGAGAAAAAAATACCCTCAAGTTATAGTCTCAGAATGAGGGACAGCTATTTGGGGCTGAGATGACAAGAAACTTCTTCACTTAAAGGATTATAAATCTATGGTAATCTTTGCCCCCAGAGGCTCATGGATGCTCAGCCCTTCAGTGTATTCAGGGATGGAACTGATAGGTCTTTGGATTCAAGAGAATCAAGGATTTTAGGGATCAAGTGGTAGAGTTGTGGTCAAAAAATAGCCAATATTTCATTGTGAGTCAGCCATGATCTTATGTAATGGCAGGCTTGAAGGGTCTTAAGTAAAAGGAATACACGTTGACCTTAAGTTCTCAGAAGTTCTTACAATTTGCCTAGATCAGACTCAAACTGTCTCAAAACATTTTCAACTAACATTAGAATGGATCAGTCATTTTCACTACTGTTATCCACGTACTCAGAAAGCCTGCTGTTACTTGCCCTCTCCCAGCCACCTGCATTCATATTTTGTGAATTCTAATCAGTCGTTATGTTAATTTAAAGGGTAGTGACAACTAAAGAATTTTAAAGGCTTTGTTAATTTCTAACAGTGGGGGAATCATCGTCCACTTGTCCATATAAAGTAACAGCAATGAAACAGTTGTGTAAAGAACACTTCATACGGACGCTGTTTGATTTTGATGCAAATCAAAATGGGTTCATATCTGCCCAGAAATAAAAGAGCTCTTAACATGAAAACATTTGAATATACAACTAAATATGGAAAAATAATCTATTCCTAATTGTGACATTTAGCATTTATAGTACAAGCCAACAAGTTGCAGATCTTTCATTTTGTTTTAATTGTTTGAATCTACAGATGACATGACCTGTTCCCATTGTTCTGTCAATTACAATGACAAATCCAAGAGCTGACTAATAATGATCGAGCTTCAGCACAGCAGATGTTTAATTGGCTGCTCCCTGATTGGACAAGTTACATAAGTGGTTGTATGAAGGATACCAGACATTTGGGAAAAATACCTTCAAAATATCAGCTATAAGCTGCAGTGGTCTTTAGGAAACCAAAGGATGGGGTTGGGGGGAGCGGTGGTGGATGGGGAGCCTTCCCAGCCCTGTGAGCCTGCATTGCCATTCAATGAGATCATGGTTGAACTGTATCTTAACTTCTAATCATCTGCCTTGGCTGCATATATCCCTGGGTGACAAAATTGATCCTAGATTTAAATGTAATAATCAAACCATCATTTACTGCTTGATTTACAAGATGCTTCTTACAATGGTAAATAAAATGTGAAAGGTGATGATAGGATTATAGATAAATACAGCATGGAGAAAAAAAGTCTTAAGATTAAAGATAAAACAAGATTACAAACAAACAAAACGAGATTAAATACAAATAGTTTATCCCGACTGACACTTCTGACAAGCAGATAGAGGTCAATGAAATATCACAAATGTTCTAACAAGGAAGGAGCAAATATACAGCTCTATACACCTCAAAGAAAATTCCTTACTAGTAAGGATTAATCTCCAAATTTACTCGTGGATTTCCTTTTTATCATGAGGTCCTACTACTGTTTGAAGACTGTCAGTTTAACGACATCATCAATGTCATGTCCCAACCGCGCCCCCCCCCCCCCCCCCCCCCCCCCCCCCCCCGCCGCCCCCC